GGCAAATTTTTCTGTGTAAATCGAAATTTATCCATTGAAAATCGGAAAACTTTATAAATCCGATATAGAAGCAGTTTTTTACAGTGAAAGTGAAGATAATGTTTTACGGGCACTTCATGGTGGAGTCTCCACCCATAATTTTTAATGCTTTATCAGTTAAATCCAGTTTACTACCGGCCATAGTCTTATACAGGGATGGTAATGGGCTTTTAGGCCGTTTAATAAACAAAGATGCATGCTATATAAAACATACGAATAAGTGAGATAAACGTATAAATAAGAGAGACAAACAACCATTGTTGAACGAATAGGAGAACAAAATACTTATTTCCCCTCTGCCATAAGCGTGCAGTACAAGATTTTAAAACGAATAAATCAAAACAATTAAACGTCCGCCAATGTTTAACTTCCCCTACTCTAACTGCTTTCCAATCCCACTACTAGATAACCTTGACGCAAATTTCGCAATCGAGTCTCGAAATAACTTCAGTATTATTCGGTCCACGTTGGAGTGCGGACGGAGGAATTTTAAATTTTCTTTAAAATTTAACTATGATTTTGTTTACAAAAACGAATACTTATTGAATTTTTTTCGAAAATGTGGAAAATAAACCATAGTATTCTTGTAATAAAAAAACAAATATTCTTAAACAAAAATGGTATTCTAAAATGTTTAAATAAATAAATTAAAGTAAATGTTTAAACAAAAATGGTATTCTAAAATATTTAAATAAAAAAATAAATAAATCAAAGTAAATGTTCAAATAGGCCCCCAAACGCTGCTGTACAATAGGTTAACCTATTATAAAAATTGTGTCGTACATTTGACAGCATCTCAGGTCTGATATTCCTTAATGTATTAATTCTCTTAATTCATCAAGGTTATTTGCCCTGATATGCTGGAATCCGTACATTTTGGATTTGGCATATCCCCACATAAAAAAATCGCACGGAGCCAAGTCCGGTGATCTTGCTGGCCAGAGAATATTTCCGTGACCACTTATTATGCGGTCTGCAAAAGTGTCTTGCAAATATTCTCTTACCAATAGGGTATTATGTGCGGGACATCCATCCTGTTGAAACCATACTGACTCAAAAGGCACAGGCTGAGCACGAACTGCGGGAACAATTTCATTTTGCAGCAGTTCAAGATACTTTTGACCATTTAAGGTACCATCTATAAAAAATGGACCTATAACATGGTCTCCCAGCATTCCACACCAAACATTTAATTTTTGTGGTCGTTGAGTATTGGCAGCATAATGCTGATGAGGATTCGTTCTGGACCAATACCGATGGTTCATGGAATTATGCCTACCATGTATAAAAAATGACGACTCATCGGTAAAAAGGATATTTCGTGTGAAATTTTCATCCCGGTTCGCCATTTCTATAACGGTTTCGCAAAATTCCATGCGACGGTATGGATCATCAGGAAATAGCTCATTACTCCTCTTCAATTTGTATGGGTGATACCCATGCTTTCTTAAAATTTTGCCTACCATAGACCGTGATAGATCGAACTGTTCGGCAACTTGTCTGGTTGACTGGGTTGGATCTTGTTCGATGCTTGCACAAATTAAAGTGTCCCGTAATTCGCGTTCTTCATTTACTGGCCTTGCTTGCGGTTCCCTATTATGAACCCTATTAACACTGCCGAATGTTAAAAAATTATTTACAACATTTTGAATTGTTGCCCTTGCTGGTAAGAGTCTATTTGGGAACATATTTGGAAATAATCTTTGTATTTCTCGATCTGAGATCACACGTTATAAATTGAATCTTTTCTTCAAGGGTGTAAACCATTTTTATAAGAGAATATTTCCTAATTTATAACAAACGTACTACCGCTTACTTTACAACACATTCTCTTGTCTGCGGTCGGGCGATGATCGTAGCCGCGCGGCGCGGTCTGGCTTGCCCCACTACTCTTACGTCACTCCACCACTCCCACGTCTCATAATGCATTTGTCTTTATTTATTAAACGGCCTAAGAGCACATTACCATCCCTGTATAAGACCGGTTAGTAAAAACGTGCATATAAACTTTTTATTAGCGTTGAGAAATAATACTTTTGTATTATTGTATTAAGATAATACAATAATTTTCACATTTAGTATTATTTCACAAAAAGGTCACTTATAAGTTACCTTATAACGATTATGAAACATTTGACAACTGTCAACTAACTTAAAGCTAACTTCAGCCCGTGACTAAAGCGCCATAGCTTGTTAATGTGTATTTAAAAGATCACGTTTTAAAGGTGGGGGTAGAAAATAGTATATTATGTATCAAGTTTGATAAACGCCATTTTATACACGAATTCAATTTAGGCACGAGCAAGCTTGCGAGCGAGTGCTTAAATTAATGAGTGTGTAGAAAAGTTTATAAACGAGGTGCATACTATATTTATATATACTTTTTCTACTACAAATACTTATTATTATCTTAAAATGATTTAAATCAAATATTTGTATAGAGAGCCATCTATGAAAAAATAGGGGAATCTGTGTGTCACCGTCAAATGTCAAATTTTTATATTTTATAAACACAGATTCGATGTATTCTTTGAAAATGGACAGTTTTTCACAGTGAAAGTAAAGAAAATGTTTTATGAGCACTTTACAGTGGAGTCCGTGCCTGAATTTAAGTTATAGTCTACTGCCGGCGAAATTAAAAGGTCATTACAATGTTCATATAAACTTTTTAAAAATCGGCGTTGAGAAATTATTTAATACTTTTGTATTTTTGTATTGAGATATTAAAATAATTTTCACATTTAGTATTATTTTACAAGAAAGGTAGGTACTTTATTTTAACGATTGCATGACATTTGACAACTGCCAACTAACTTAAAACTAACTTCAGTCCGTGACTAAAAACCTGTTGCTAACTTCAGCCCGTGACTAAAACAAATATTTAAAAAAAAGTAATAAATCTTCTAATCATTACAAAGTTATTCAAATTAAATAGTTTTTAAGGCTATATTTAATTATGTAAGTTTTTTAGATTTATTTATTTTGTACCTAGGTCATAATATGACCCAGGTACAAAATAAATATTATATTTATTGCAAATTTATCATAGGCTATGATTCATAGCTATATTTATCAAAAAGATAAGATGCGTTTGAGTTTTAATGCTAAATGTAATTAGTTTTGTCACTATAAGTTATTACGAGAGATAAAACCACTTATTTTTTTAAATTAACAATCGCCTACGAATTAACGGATAAGAATAACAATCCCAAGGGTAGTCATGCACAACGTGTAGCTAAGAGAATTTTCTTATTGATAAGGATTTTTCTTTATTGATAACGACTGATAAGGAAACACAACGTTCACATATTATGTGGATATTGTGTTATAACGTTAAACGGTATCGCTGATTTTAAAGTGGTTTACCCCTCGTATATTTATTAATTTGACTTTATTGTAAACTTTATAATGTATACTTTTTTAAAATATAAATTAGAAAGGCTAAGAAAATATAAATGTTACAGATTTAGAAAGAGAGAAAAGACATGAAGTAATTTTAACGTTATTTTTAAGTAAATATGTGATACTTAATTTGTTTTAATACATTATTCTTTTGGTCGCTTGGATAGTTATTACCTATTTAGCAAAAATAACGTATTAAACCATTCCTTGTATTTGATAATTTTTCGTATATGTACAGTTATTTAACCATTTTCGTAAAAATAACTTATAAGTAAACATGTAGTTATTTTAAATTAAAATGCTGCTTGGGGTATATATAATAATGTATAATATATAACAAGATGTACTATTATTATTATTATTACTATATATTTTAAAAGTTAAAAGTCATTCTTGTGAGGACACCATCTATATCCGGCCCGGGTCTCACCATTGTTTTTAGAGGTACCTAACTTCTAAAAACAGTGGTCTCGTCTCATCGATGCTAAGACCACAAAATGAGAAACGCCTTTTATTGTAATAACTTAATGATAAGCAAATAAAGGTTTTTTACTACCCATATCCTATAATATTAAATAATTTCTGCACAATTTTTATGCCGTATCAATAAAAAACAATATAATAATATACAATTATAAAAATGCGAAGCAATGCATTCTAATTAATATTGTTAAATCTACGACCTAAATCGTTGAAAAAATGGTTCCACTTTTAAAGTTGATATAAAAAAAATCATTAGATAATGTCAACAAACTAACACAGCAGCTTCTGTAATTTGCTAATTAATAACGTTGATTAGATTCTTTATAGGTAGCGGTTTTTTAATTAACAGTCAGGTGTTATTTACTTATCTGAATAAATTTGTTTATTTTGCACTACCTCGCAATTAAATATCAACAAGATCTTGCGAAAAGTAATACGAAACTTTTACAAAAATTTAATATTATTAAGTACTAAGTTTCTTGGATGTATGACGTTAATTTTTAAATCTTTTAACGCAACAAGTATGTTTTTTTAATTGTATTATTAATTAAAAAAATTTACATTTTCTAATTTACGCACTATGATTCATAGTGCGTAAATTAGAAAATGTAAATTTTTTTAATTTAATAGTCTATGAACAAATATCTACAAAAGGTACCTAATGCACTCGTTAGAATCTAAATATAGTAGAATGTGCAACCTCACATGCACGTGGGAACATCAACCTTAATAACAATATTTTGCTCAATATAAATTTTAAATGAAAATTAGAAATTTGGCTAAAAAATACTTTTTTCTACCATAAGATTACTTAAAACTTTCCCGAAGCCGCAACACAGTGCTTTTGGACATTTGGGAAAAAAATCAATTTTAGGCATTGGGCAGAAAAAAAATCGTAATTTTCTTCAGCATTTTCTTAGTATACCTATAGGTAAAACAAAAACTTTTTAGTTTTAGTAAAAAGTAACACAAAAATACTCTGCAATAAACTCAAAACTAACGGTTCGGGCGAGTTTGAAGACCAAAATTTAATTTTTCCGCTAATTGACACATAAGACTTAATGCTTTTTTTTCAGGGTATCTGCCCGGCCAACAGATTGAGGTTAATTCCTGGATTATTTGAGGACACTGGACAGTCACGGGTCTCGTCGCCTCAATTTATAGAGAATGATGTTATCTTGCAGAAACAAGGAATTAGGAGGAGTTGGCATTTTCAACCCAATCAGGTAAATAATATTGTGTTGCAATGACCGATGTGGTCTTTATTTTGAACGTCTATGCAGGGAGTGAGACCTAAAGGCAATTTACGAAAAGTTTTATTTATGGGTTATAAAATGTAATATTTAAAAATTTGGAGACATTTGTGGCGCCAACTTTTAGTCATTGTACAATTAATAATCAAAAATTAAACTTGGAAAGTACTTAATTTCAATAAAAAATTCAATCATCGTGGTCTTGTAGTTGTTTATCAGTCTGATTAATATAATTTACAAATCGTTTACTGTAAATGGTATTGAATAACAAATGAAACTTCCAAATATGTAGTAACTGGTCAATGAAGGTCAGGTGAACCGTGGTAATTCATTTGTTTGTGTTGCCTTTACGGTTTGAATTATTAATGTATACATTTAAACTATAGTTTAAAACTAAAAATACATATTTTTTTAATTTTATTTTTAGATTTAAATTAAAAATTGTTTAATGCTTCATTTCGTCAACTGTATGATTTAAAAGAAAGAATCGATTTAATGAAAATCCCAAAACTTTTTCTGTTGAGAATCAGAGGCTGAGATCACTCGAAAATGAGTTAAACCACGTCAAGTGGGACCAGAAAATTTCACGAAATCACCGATTTTGAAAATAATCACATTATTGTGTAGTAGGTATGACTCATATGTCACAGTAAAAAAATTGTTTTAAAATTCGTTTTTTTGGTAATGTTATTAAGGTTGACAATTTTGTCAAACTTTAGAGCACGGTAAAATTGAAAAAATAGAATCTCTGGAACCACTATGTATAATTGAATTAAATTTTACACACTATTGTAGAAATGTTTAGACTATATAATGATCATTTAATTAAGGTTAATTTTTTTAAATAAAATAATTTTGCATACATTTATTATAAACAATTGAAATTTTGTATGTGTTCTTCACGCTGAAAAAAAATAATCTTGTGTCATAATATGCTGCAAATGTTCCCGTTTAATAAAATGTACTCAAAAATTTGTCCTTCATATGTCATTCCGGAGATATTAAATTTTTTGTCCCGCTGTGCGCTTGATCAGTACGCGGCGCGCTTCGCTGCTAGCTCGTCAGGACACGGTGTGCCTGGACGAAGTTTAAGTCGCATAAAAATTCCGCAGTTTCTTGTTCGGGACTCTTTGGTGACTTAAAAATAATATTTACCAAAATCCTAGCTGCTCCCCTTTTCGAAACATTTTGAAAAATCTTTTTTATGCATTATGCGTTTTACTATATAAAAAAGTGATTTTTGTCTAACCCTGTATAAATCTAATGATGTGCTCAGTATAAAAACAGTTTCTCTCGTTTACAATATCGGTGTACAAATGTGTACTCTGGCAAAGGTAGACTTTGCGATAAACAAATAATTAAAAAAAATGAATGTTGTACAAATTTAAACAAAAAACAGTTATAATTTTGGTAAATATCTTTTTTAAATCACCAAAGAGTGCCGATCAAAAAACTTCAACCAATTTTTCGTTCAAAATTGAAAACTACTAAAAAGCCTAAATTAAACAACATTTTAAATACTCTCTAAGCGTTATTTTATTAAATTTTATTACAAATCTATTTTTCTTGTAAAATGTTAATAAAAATGCAATTTTGTAACCTAATAGACGTAGAAATATCTAAAAAAAATTGGGGATAAATATTTTTCGCGTGTTATGCTATAAGTAATCATGAATTTACGCTTTTGCATTATTAAAAATAAGTGATTTTTGGCTAACCCTGTATATACAAATGATGTGAACAATATTAAAAAGTATTCTCTAAGTCTCCTAAATAATTTACTCTAATTTTATAAAAATCGGTGTGCAAATGTGTACTCTGTCAAAGAGATAAACAAAAATTTAAAAAAAATCATGAATTTTCGAACAATTTTGAAAAGAGGAGCAGCTAGAACTTTGGTAAATATCATTTTTAAGTCACCAAACAAGAAACTACAATCAGTTTTTGGCGGCATTTTTATGTGACTTAAACTTCGTTCAGGCACACCGTTAAAACGTTAGAACGGACGAGCTAGAAACGAAGCGCGCCGCGTACTGATCAAGCGCACAGCGGGACAAAAAAATTAATATCTCAGGAATGACATAGGAAAGACAAATTTTTGAGTATATCTTATTAAACGGAAACGTTTGCCGCATATTATGACACAAGATTAATTTTTTTTCAGCGTGAAGAACACATACAAAATTTCAATTGTTTATAATAAATGTATGCAAAATTATTTTATTTAAACAAATTAACCGTAATTAAATGATCATTATATAGTCTAAACATTTCTACAATAGTGTGTAAAATTTAATTCAATTATACATAGTGGTTCCAGAGATTCTATTTTTTCAATTTTACCGTGCTCTAAAGTTTGACAAAATTGTCAACCTTAATAACATTACCAAAAAAACGAATTTTAAAACAATTTTTTTACTGTGACATATGAGTCATGCCTACTACACAATAATGTGATTATTTTCAAAATCGGTGATTTCGTGAAATTTTCTGACCCCACTTGACGTGGTTTGACTCAAATGCAAAATTTTTAGCCGGTATTTACAAAATTCACGAACGAATAACGATATTTTACAAAAATTTCCAACATGGCTATAAAGATCGAATTTCCGAATTAAAAATTTCACTAAAATTATATTTATCAGCATCAAAATATGAGTTTGTGGCTAAAAAATTAAATAAGTATATGGAAAGTCAATGCAAATTGCCTATTTATTGTTTAAAGTTATAACAAAAACAACATTTCCGATTTTTTTTTATAAAAAAACGCGAATTTGCCGAATAATCAGATAATCAGACATAATAAGAGCAAAAACACGGTTTATCAATGTCCAGTTAAAGTTGCAGCTACTTTTCTGGTGGATAATTTCCATGGATACCATTGTTCTCACAAAGATCGATATGGAATTTAAGACTAACTGGAACTTAATCAGAGATTGATAAACCGGCCCTAAGCCGAGTAGTAAAGAATTAAACAATAAGCAAGCCATGATTTTCATGCTAACATGGCAACATAAATTTATTTGGATAACAAATGTCTGCTGTCACAAATTAAAAAAATGCATTATTTTTTAAAATAAAGGTGTAGGTTATGTTTTTTTCTACTTCTATTACAGATTATGACCGTTCTAATATCACTTTTTAATGTGGAATGACATATATTCCTAAATGTGTTACAGAATGAATTATTCTACCATCGGATGACGGAATAAACCCTGTTGACTTTTAGACCAATTCAACCTCACATTCACTCAATTAAATTATTTTTCTATGGTATTTTTAAAAAACGTTGAAAAAGTATAGTCTGCAACACATTTGGAATTGCATATTCCGCTCTCGTGAAACCGTCAAACTCGCCTTCGGCTCATGTGACAAACTTTTCACTCGTACGGAATATACCGTATTCCAAACGTTACAAGATATATTAATATGATAAAAATGCGTATGCCGAAGTGGAAAGTCATGGCTTGCTTATTGTTTAATTCTTCTTTACATCTTTACGCTTATTAAGTATGTCGTATATAATTGTTATCTCGATTGTTGTTTATGAAGTGTTATATATTTTTTTATTTACCTTTAGACAATTTATTGAACTGTAAAATAATATAAAGAGCTTTCCATTGAAAATGTTTTCTGTACAGCCCTGTATTGCTGAGATAAAGATGATCCGATCCAATATTCAAAATATTTATGAAAAATTATTCAAGAAAAAACGAACGAAAATATTTTGAGAATAAGGAAAATAATGAGGGGATCAAATTTAAGCTTGACACCCTGTGAACTGTTGGTAGAAAATTAAACAGTGGATTTCTTAAAAACACTATAATAAAAGAATACAAAGTTTTTGTTTTATTTGGTAATGTCTTTTCAATTATTCTACCATTTTCTTAGAAATGATCATAGCATACTCGATGATGTTTCTGTTACCTTAATGTATCTGTGTAGGCTGTAAAAAAAATTGGGAGTAACAAAAGGAAACGGAAAGAGATTAAAATAAATCGCAGAAAGAAAATTTTGTTTACAATAACGCCGCTGAGTACGCCACTGAGTAACCTACAAAACCATTTTTTTTGTAAATTCTACTAGCACAGCTATAATTTCATCTTTGTGTTCGAAAATTATTAAACAAAAACTATTATTTTTGTAAAAATTTGTAACTTGGTAACAAAAATCAGTAGAGCATAACTTCATATTTTTTACTAAGGAATCCACTGTTAAATTGTCTTCCAATATTTTTTATATTTAGATATTTATAATTGTTTATTTTTAATTAAATCGTTTAAAAAAACAAAAAATCATAAATAATTATTATTCAAAACCTAAAATTTACAACTCCTAAACCGTCAAGAATCCATAAATATTATTTTATTTTTAAAGGATCTCTATTAACATAAATTATTTTGATAGTTTTTTTACCACTTTAGTAATTTTAAGGATAGAATAAATACAAATTAATGAATTCTTGTATATCGACTCCCATCTCAATGATTAAGATATAATAATTTATCCCTCTATACAAAAGGGTACTTTTTTATTTTGAAAGGGTTTTTGTTATGATAATTTTCCTAATTAAGTCCCATAATAATATTCTAAATGATATGACGCAAATATGTGTTTTTTAAATGATTTTAAAATAGGTATGTATAACTGCTGTAAGTGCTTCTTGAACTGGTAATGCAAGTTTTGTAATTGCTAAATAAGGCTGGTTTGTATTTTATTTTGATCAGTGACGGCGTGTGAACAATACATGTTAGTTTCTGTATTTTTATTTAGTTTTTAACTTTTCTTTAAAAAGAAAGTACCAATGGGACCATTTATTTTTAAACATGGAAAGGAAATCAACTTATTATATTAAAAATTACCCAACATGCTAAATAATAAATAATATCAATAATATGTATATGTATATACAATATATACATACCTAAATTGTAACACAGGAACGTGAATTAAAAAACGTAAAAACTAGAGTT